ATTTTTTTTGGTTCATAATTAGCGCTTCTTTATACTGTATTTACTTTACTTCTTGTGAATTTTAATGTCCAAAGTAAGTTACTTACGAGTCTTTGTTCTCTACAACGAATGAGTTGACTAAAAACAAAGCTAACTTTCATAGACTTAACCGTTTCCGTGTGACTTCTGAAAAAGTTTTATTGCATAATTACGAAATCACCTTGAGACTTTCTCCCAAATTTCTTAAAGGCCTTCACCCAAAACTTAATTAATAGAAAAAAAAGAAATGATTCAAATTTAATAAGTGCATGATGGCCAATTATATAAACCTATTATACTTTTAAGTTGAAATTAGTCACGCTTCAAGAATAGGGAAGATATAATAAGTAGGCACGAATACAAGTTCTTCAAGGTCATGGGAAGAATTTTCAAAGAAAATTATAGTTAATACAAAATGACAGGCCAGTGACTTTAGTTTGCGTACACTTTAATATTCTCAACAAGATTTAGATATAAATTAACCACTGTTTTAGTTTTATTTATAAGTCAATGTCGTGCCAAAGAAAATCTTAAAACTTATTAATTTATATTTAAAATTAAGTAGGTTTTCAACTTTACCACCATCAAATATATACATAGTTTAAAGGCCCTTTGTGCCAAGAAATTCTCACTGAAAGAGTACTGCAAGAAGAGATCACTCCCTCTTAAGCCATTTGATAAAAGGAATAATGCTTGTTAGAGAACAAAAGCACCAAAAGATGGGAGCAAGAGGCAAAACTAATAAATACGTACAAAAACATTTAATTCGCCATATGAACTTGGAAGTGATGGAATATTCTTGAAAATACCCGGTTTCCTTTTCAGGTTCAGTGTTTCTGTCTGTCACTAGTTTTCAAAAGCAAAGCTATAACTTTTACTTTATTTTACTTTGAACAAGCACATCACTATATCAGCTTTTTGCAAGGCCTCTAGCTGTGACATGCGTAGCCCTACTACAAATTATGCAATTTTTGTCTGTCCTAGAAACTCATTTTTATCTGTTTAGAGAGAGACGTTGACTGAAAAATTATAAATAAGAGTTATATATATATATATATTCATCTGTCATATAACAGACAAGTATGAGGCCGTAATGAATATACAGCTTCATACTCGTCTGTTCCATAGGAAGTATGGTACGAAAATGAACCTGCATGTAGTAGCGTAGCATCAGGAAGGAAACCTTCTTTTGATTCTACAGAAAGAATATCCAAATAATATGAGAAGAGTGGACTATTATAAGCATTGCTGATTGATTGAACAATGAGCCCTTCTGCTTTCCAAAATAAGTACAGAACAACTGAACGCACAGACTCAGGGGATGAGATTGAAACTAACAAAATATAAGATTTAATTTCATTGACATGCTTAACATGGGATATATAAATTGTTGTCTGTTAGAAAATGATGTAGAAATAGTATCCATATATATTGAATGGAGGCTGGGTCCGGTTGTTTTTAATTTTAATTGTAATATATAACAGTTGAAGAATTAGTTTTTAATTTAGCCCTGTAGGCATGGAAGAACACGATAAGAGAAAGATCAATCATAATTAAGCATATACACATATATATATATATATAGTTACCTATCCAAGCCACAATCTCAACCAAATAATTAAATTGGCGGCATGAGTGAGAGCCTTCCCTCCACTTTTGCAGTCGTTACTGGGTGATGCTTTTGTGCTCAAGCTCTTCAAATGCTTTCTGATAACTCTCAAATTGCTTCCTCACATGTGAAGGATCTGCTCTATGGAACACTGGCATAACAAGGTGACCTTTGTTCTTGGAGCACTCTAATACTCTTTCAGTCCTTAATATATGACCCAATTGTTGAGTTGATTTTTGTTCTAAATATAAGACCCATTTCTTGTATTTATCAATTTTCTCTAAATTACCCCTATGGATACTCCCTCAACTATAATCAAGTAGAAGAGACAGAGAGGGGGTATTAAGAAAGATAATTATGGTGTTTTAGAAAAAATGTGTCACATTTCTTATAATCAACTAATTTACCTAACTTTCTTAATATAATGAAATTAGTTAAATAGATCTTATATCAAGGACCGGAAGAGTATTTCTGTAAGCTCCTTCAAGCACTACGTGGAAGATGTGTTAATAATTGGGGGATATTAAATGCCCTTGCGCATATAATAAAAACATCTCAACTTAAAAGATCGAGATATGGGTATATAGGAACATTTAATATTATAATCAAGTCTTTGCATGGATTTGTTCAAAATCAACAAAATCATATACTTGTGAAATATTTCATCCAGTAAAAGTTACATCAAGTAACAAACGCATCCACTAAATGCCAATGGATCATAGAGTATCCCAGAAAATTAAGATTTGTAAGTCGCTGTTTCTTCCATCAGCTTCTTATGTCTTCTTTAACTGACGAGATATCGATATTCATCCTTGATATTCGCAAAGCTTTTCCCAGCAACTTCAGTAATTTGATCTGCCATTACGACATAGAAGAGATGAAATTCCAATCCTTAATTATGATGTGGGATTGAGGGGAGGGAACCCCAAGAGTTGCAAAACATTCACAATCATTCTTTCTCCTTTTCTCTTTTCCCCGAAAAAAAATCAAAGTTTAAGCGAGTTAAATTTCAGTTTTCATTAGACTAGTATGCCTTTACTTGGGTTTTGGCATACACACAATTAGAATAAAATTTAAAATTTTTTAAATTAAAACCTATGAATAAATCTTTGGGCTTTGCTTAGCATGCGCTAATCATGAAGATTTTTTCAACTGTTCAAAAATACTTGGCTGCTATAAACTGACCATGTTGGACGAATTGAAGTAATTTACATTCCATTTACGGATGTGCCTAGTAAAATGAAACTCTATATATATATGTATGTATGTATGTATGTATATGTATATATCCAATGTTAGTATGTCTCTCTAGCCCATTGGAATTAATATAACTAGGTTTTGTATAATACAATGAACAGGCCAATAAATAAATGATGCATTTCAAAAGAAGTTATGAATTAAGACGAGAATACTGTGCAAAACAATTTCTTACTGTGTTCACTCAATAATGAAAATTCAAAAGAAAAAAAGAGAGAGTAGTAAACAGCAAAGTATGCTCTAACCATTCAAAGGGACAAGTTTGAGAGAAAATTAAAGGATCGATAAGAAAGATATTAAGTTCAATTCATTATTCGATTAAAATTATTTACGTCATAAGGCACGCTTTTTCGCTTCAATAATCCAGTCATGTTGTTATAAAGAAAATGAATTTCAGATATCCACTAGGAAGAAATTCAGCTCAGCGTAAAACCCTTGATGAGCTATTACGTGCATACATATATAGATATATATTTTGAATAAAAAGCAAAATCAAATGACATTAAGAAGTAATAACAGCTACAAAGTTCTAATAAATTGAGGGAAAATAAAAACATCTCTAAACCTATTGCATGCATATATACACATATATAGCTACATGATTTGATAATTAAAAAATTTGATGTCATTACCGTATAAAAGAAGAAAGCAATTCTCAAGGAAAAGAACGCTGAGAATCAATGATGATGACTACTTTATTTTTAATTCTTTCGGAACCGACAGATCAATTGGACGCAATTTACATATATTTTGTATTTTGTGGCAATTTACATGTGGTTTAGCCACCATTGATATTCGTTATGTGTTTAGAAACTAATGCTTATAATTGAAAGATTATAAAAATAAAAAATACAAAGACCTAATTAAAAATCAAGTGAAGTTACATGAACTTACATTTTAATTTTTTGAAGACTTCGAAAGTGGAAACTAAGATTAAAACAAATAAAGAAGACTGAGATTTATATTTAAGACCGGAAGACAGTAGTCAAATATGCCTCTAGCTTATCATTTATTGAAGAAAATATACTGTCGTAACTTGTAATCGAAAGAAAATGTATTACTGTTTTGGTCGTTTTCTTGAAGGAAAAGATGAAATTGAAGTGAGGGAATACTTCTGAAAATGCATGGTTGCTTTACAGGTTCGGGTAGTCTCTCACTCTTTGCTTAATCCCATTTCGTTGTATTATGATGCATATCCATGGTATCAAATGTTAAATTTATACCGTCCAATATTAAATCCCAGCAATGAACTGTTAAACTCAATCTAATTGCCTGAAGCAAAGGTGGGATGTGACCTAGCATATGGGTAGAATTTAAAGAGTTTAAATTAAACTATCTTGATACACGCACACGCACATATATATGTGTATGCATGTGTGTATGTACAAAGGTTATTTATCCCAAATGAGTTCAATAAAAATCAAATCTGACTCGATGCTCCATAGTACTAAACATCATAGGAATGCATAAAAAAATAAAAAAAATTTATACCAACATTCCTTTTTTAAGGATTTTAATATATTGATAGGTTAAAAAAATTTTATGTTTTGCAGTTCTTCCTCCTCCTCCTCATCATCATTTTACATAATCACATCTAAATATCTATCTTACTATATTTTAATGTATCTTTTTCTCTGTTGCAACAGAATAATTAATTTCAATAACATTATATATGACAGCCGCGGTGCAGTTGAAACTGTTACCACTGTCTTAATTTAACCTTTTAATTTATTCATTTGTCTTAATTCCCTTCTAACTTTTGTATGCTAGTTTCTCGTAGCATTTCATTGTTGCTTTTAAATTTCATTCTTTATCGGAATTTTATTCATTTAATTTGGATCACATGAACCATGCTAATTTTTTCATATAGCAGACGCTAAGATTTTAGGGTATTTTTAATCAAATGCAACTTTGAGGATTCGCAAATATTTTCAGAACTGTGGTAATACTTTTTTTTCAGAGCAAGATGATCGGATGACTTGAACCAGATCCAATTTTTTAGGCTCCTGATTATGAGTGTAATGGAGGCAGCCTTGTGAATATATATATATAGATGAAATGAAAATGATGCAGCCATCAGTGATAAGCATTGAAAAAGAACAGTTAAGAGAGGATGTTAGTGTTCAAAATCAAACCTGTGGTTTCTTCTTCTCATATTCTTCAGATGCTTTCTAGTGATTATATTTCCAGACTGCTTCTTTGCAGGCCGATTGTACTTTTGACAGGCCGATTGCGTTGCATTAGAGCTACGATGTGGATGCAATAACGCCAATTGAATTTGTTTGATGTAATTTTGATATTCAACTGCAGATGTCGGGCACACCCCACACTCTTTGATCGCTAATGTTGTTTCATCATCATAAGGCGAAAAGGCTGTGAATTCAAATTGAAACAATAATGGATGATAGGTAGTGTTGCTTTGAGCTTCTCTTTTCTTTTCTTCAATTGTCCTTTGCACCTCTCCCCATGACTCTGCATCGTACCAAAGACAAACATGATATGACAACCGAGACACATGAAAAGACTCGCCTGGGGACATGTAAGCATATTGTCCATCAATAAACAATTTGGCACCAATTGTAGTCCACGATCGTGATCCATAAATCACGGCACAAAAAATGAAAGCGCCATCCCAAGGTTGTGGAATCGAGCTGAGATCCACAGTCACCAAAGACTGTGTAGTCCTATACATGACCCACTCCGCGACTCTTCCTCCTGGATATTCCATTTGAGCCCGGTAATAAATGTCTTTGTTATTATTCATGTGAAGTAGCACTTTGGCCTCAACAGCTTTGATTGACTGCCCATCCAACTTCATGCAATTTCCGAAACTGAAGTTATCATAATAATACCCTTTTCCTTCTATATCTTCACTCATTAAAGGTGAATGTAAGGTCTCAAGGGACCAGCAGTCATTGGCTTCCAGTGTACAGATAGAGGGAGGGAGTTGTGGTAGGGACAGAAGCCTTTTGCATCCATCTAAGGTGAGACATTGCAGGCTTGAAAGATGTTTGATGCTTAAAGGCAAGGTCTCTATATTACTCCTCGAGAGATCTAACTGACTTAATGACGACAACAAGCTGATGTTGTCAGGCACTTCAAATAATTCACTACAACCCCTCAGCACTAGAGCTTCCAAAGCACGCATCTCATCAAATATGGAACGTAGATTTGATGCTAGCTTATTACAATAATCTGCATGAAGGCGTTGGAGGGTGTGCTTGTCAACCAATTTGTGAAGACTTGTCACCCCTTCGCATCTTTCTAGGTCCAAAAAATAAATTTTGCTGAGACATCCGCTTGATGAGGACAACTCACCATTGATGGCTGTTCCACAAAGCATCAATTCAAACAAATTATATTCTGAGGTCACTGAAAATTCGCATAGTCCTGAGCATCCCGTCAAGTTGAGCATACTTAGTGATTTGAGATGGGTGTTGCTCGTAAGGCTGGTAAGGGCTTTGCAACCACTTAGCAATAATCCACGAAGGCTATGGAGAGATAAAATAGAGGGATGAACACTCTGCAATTTTGAACAACCATGAAGATAAACTTCTGCAAGATGTATGGCCTTGGAAAAATTTGGGAGCTCAGTCAAGTCTTTTGATTCATGAAGATCAATTTTGGTTAAATTCACAAGATTCTGTAAAAAAAAAATAATAAACAAATTACATGGTAAGATTGGCGGCAAAAATAAAAATAATTACACTCTCTTATCTTTTTTTTAATAAGACCTTGTTAGCAATTTTATTTACAAAATTAGCAATGTCAAAAAGTATTACAAAATTTTTTAAAATTACACTTAACCAATAATCTATATAAATATTAGTGTGATGGTGAAAGGGAAATGCGTTTTCTAGAATGGGTTGTCAATCTTTTATTAAATTTTCTAAGAGATTTTAAGGACCAATAGGTAAAAATTTATAAATGATACTGAAGAGAGGGTGCATATATAATAAAATTTTTCCAACTAGTGTATTAATAATATTTTATAAGAGAAAAAAGTATAAAATGTACCTGCTCTCCATCCCAGAGTTTTGTCAAATTGCTGTTGGGCATTTTTATTTCAACAAGATTTTCTCCATTGAATGTTGTTGGCAAGGACTTTAAAGGGCATCCCACCCAATCCAATAGCATGAGATTTCTTGGCAAAAGCTTCATACTAGAAGCATTTAACTTGTTGCTAAGCTGACCATTCAAATTTCCATAAAACCTAAGAAATTTCAGATTGGGCATTGAACGAAAGGCTTTAATAATTACATCCATCTCTTCAACTTCTGAAAGGTTCATAATCATGCCTTCAATACTTCCCTAGCAAACAAAAAATACTAATAGTAATAAAAATATTATCTAAATCAAATAGGAATTTGGAATTTAACAATCTTTTTAATTAAAAAAAAAAGTAAAAATTTCATTCTTACCATACTTTTCTTCAATATCGCAGAACCTTTCTTGAAAATCCAAAATATCTTGCACCATGTAGGATATTTTAATGATTCTTCACGAACAATTTGTTTACCCATTTCTTTTATCAGATTGTGCATACATATTCTTCCTCTATAAACAATATCTAAAAGAGCTTTATCTTCAAGACTTGTCAATCCAATCTCGGTTGAATAACCACATCCATCTAACAATTTTTTTATGTGCTTAACATGTACATCATAATAATTGAAAAAACATGCGATATGCAAGAAAATATTTTTCTCTTCCTCATCAAGTCCTTCAAAACTCAATTTGAGGATATCGTTAACTTTTAAACAGGGTAATTTTTGAAGCTTTACCAGTTGGCTTTCCCATGCTTCTTGATTTTTGCCATGCAAGAAGGAGCCTAAAACCTTTAGGGCCAGTGGATTTCCACCTGCATATTCAGTCACTTTTTCTGCTAGCACCTTTATCTTTGTGCCATCATATCCTTTTTTGAAGGCATTCAAGGTGAAAAGTTGAAAAGCTTCATCAGGATTCAAACAATGAAGCGCATATATATCATCCACTTCATTACCAAGTATTTGCTTATCTCTGGTTGTTATCAAAATTTTACTACCTGATCCAAATTCAAGTCCTCGGACTAGATTTTCTATTTGCTCAAGATCATCAACATCATCAAGCACAATGAAAACTTTTTTCCTACCAAGCCTACTTATGGTACAAGGATATATTGCATTGCGAATGTGAGATTCTTTATCCCCTAATAACCTCCAAACAATTTTTTCCCTCAAAGCATCTATTCCATGTTTCTTTGATTCTTCCCTTACATTAGCCAAAAAGCAAGACCCTTCATATGTAAAATGCAATTTGTTAAACAATGCTTTTGCAAGAGTTGTTTTGCCCAAACCGCCCATGCCCCAAATTCCAATGAATTGGCAGCCACCGTTGTTTGAACCTTTGTCCAACAATGATTCTACATCTGCCATTCTTTTGTGAATTCCAATCAAGCCTTTTAGATAATCTTCACTTTGATGCCTAGGGCCCAACTTTTGTATGACACAATTCACTATTTCTTTAATTAGCTCAGCTTCATCCCTACACACCATTGAAAAAATAAAGAGGCACCAAATTTAATTCCACATTATCTATTCATTTCAAATTTTGAACTATTCCTAATGACATGTAACTATGAAGATTCGCCAATTTTTAAAATTTGTTATAATATTTTGTTTGAGAAATATTACTTATATTAGATGGCATAACTATGTGTGTGTATCAGAAAGATCATTATAACCATATATCCCTCCGGTCGTTAATATAAAACCTAATTGTTGAGTTGATCATGACTCTAAATATAAGACTTATTGCTCATATTTATAAAATTTTTCTAAATTATCCTTGTTGATATTTTCTCAATCATAATCAAGCAAGAGAGGGAAAGAGGATATTAAGGACAATAATTGTGATGTTTTAAAAAAATGTCATTTTTTTATAATTAATTAGCTTATCTAACTTTTTTTTTAAACCAGAAGCCTAACTTTTTAAATCTAAATCAGTTAAATATAAGGACCGAAGGAATTTATATACAAGTTACCTATCGAAGCTACAATGCCACCCAGATAAATTGGCGGCATGAGTGAGAGCCTCCCTCCACTTTTGCAGCTGGTGCTTATTGATGCTGCTTTTGCGCTCATGTTCTTCAAATGCTTTGTGGTAACTCCCACATTGCTTCCTCACATATGAAGGATCTACTCTATAGAACACTGGCATAACAAGGAGACCTTGATCATTTTTGGAGCACTCTAATATTTTTGCAAGCTCCGTCAAGCACCACGTGGAAGATGCATAGTTTTCTGAGAAGATCACAAGGAACAGAGTTGAATCTTCAATGGCTTTCTCAAGAGATAGCCATACCCCATCTCCTCTCTCAAGTCTATAGTCGATGTATGTATCTATTTGGTTTCTGCGAAGAGCTTCATGAAGGTGGCTTGTGAAGTTGAAGCGGGTGTCCTCACCTCTGAAACTAATAAAAACATCATATTTCTTTGGAGATTGAGGAGATGGAGCAGCGGAAGAAGATGAGGCCATATCAAATTGCTTGGCTACTATAAGCAAATGACAAGAGAACTGCGACTGCTTTCAATTCAGATTCAAGAACGATTGGTAATAGGAAACAAAGCGGTCTTAGAGGAAGATATATAAGATTTTAGCGGAGTAGATTGAGTCAACCAAGTCAATAAAAATTGGAACAAAATGAAAAATAAATAATCATAAATTGCAAAGAAAGGCCGTCCTGCCGAGTTATTAATGTGAGGAGAAGACAGCACTAAATGAAGAACATAGTACAAAGAGAAAGGAAACTCCAGTGACACTTTCTCCGAAATGTTGAAAGCTTAATCAAATTTTCTAAGTGCTGGTCAAAAAGAAAAACAAAATCAAATTTCCTAAGAAAATATGAACGCCTGCTGTCAAATGTCCTCATAAAATATGATTTAATAAAGCACCATGATTACACCTCTCTTATTTTTCCTCTCGGCAGCATTGGAAATAATATAACGGATTGGACATGACAGTGAGAATAGTAAAACTACACTCTCATAACCGCGTAAATTAAAGTAGAAAGTTCACACACCATTGGATAGCTTGTTTGCTTATAATTATCTGAGAATAATTTTGTCTTATATTAAAGATAAAAAGCAGTACAAGGGAGATGAAGTCACACATTAGGCTCGTATGTATCTTCTTATCTTAAGTACTTATAGCCATTTTCATTTTTTAAAAAAGTATTTTTTAATATAAATAAAAACTTTAAAAAAATTAATTTACATTTTTTATAAATAGTTAATTCAATTTACTTATTTAATCGATCTGAATTAATTATTTATCTATTATAATTAGGAATAAAAACAGTATTCAGGTAGTACATAGCATGCGCATGCATTTTATTGCGGAGCAAATTATTGAATAATGACATGCAGTGCGCAGAAAGCAAAAGTGAAGTGCCAGAAAATCCAAGGCACGCGCGCATGGCTGATGGTAAAGAGCCTCATGAATAGTGATATCTCTCATTTTGAGGAATAATATTAAATAATGTTTTGTATAAAATGTCCCCTAATACCAGTCTATTGTCATGTAGTTTTTCTTCTTAATGAATGATATTATATTTTTACTAAAAAATAAGACTTATCCCAACTCGGATTGAAGTTCAGAAAATGCAAAAGGATAAATTGAGGGTAAGAGCAGAAAAATGAAAAAAAAAAAAGTGTTAAGACATAATAATTCAGTGAAAATAGTTTATCTGTATGTTTACAGAAATTAGATAATTTTTTATCATACGAGAACAATGAAGTAATGCTGTACGCAGGCACACTTCAAACAAAAGCCAATAAACAAAAAAAAAAAAGCAAATAAAAGCTACTTTTGACTTTTATACCAAGATCGTCAATCTGCCTATGAAAATGGAATCTCCGTTGGCTTTTTGGCATGTGACTCCCCGTTTCAAAGGGGGGGAAATAAATCACCGCGAAACTTCATGGAATGGAATGCGGTCCATTTCAAAACGGGGATGGCCCTCCAACAACTCTGCACTCTGAACTTAATTAAAGCTTTCTTTTTTCTTCTTTTTGTACCCAAAAAAAACACTTTCTTTTATGCTCACAATCAAATATTCTTCTTAATTATATTGATCGTTTCTCTTAAATACCCCTACTATTAGGAAACACCGAAATTTAATTAGTTTATTGTGTTTTTTTCTTTTAGATTTTCAGTTCTGTCACAATTTAAATATGTGGGTTGGTTTGGATTAAGGTTAATCAAAGTGATTTTTATAAACTGACGTCAGGAGCATTTTAGTATTTCGGTTAAAAGTTTAGGATTATTTTTACACAATTAACCTTTTTTTCAAATTAGGGTTATTTTGGTATTATTAAACATTATCATGGGTCTCACTACAAACAAAAAGTGATGGCTGTAAGACTATAACCATGTCATTTTTGCTTTGATTTTACAAATTTATAAGTACTTTTGCATTTTTAAAATCTATGAATTATGCAATTCTTGATATAAGAGGAGTATCCAATAAATTCTATCTAGGTGTATACAAATGATGAAAAATGGAGATTATAGGAAAAATAATAATTATGGGTAAAAGCAGTGAGATGCCAAAAGAGCAATCATTTAAAGGCAGCTAAATTCTCAAAGAAATTGCTGAGAAATGAATTGGAAATACTGAAAGGTTTATTCAAAATTTAAATATCTTGTTTAATATTAATACTTATGAATTACTGTTTGTTTGAATGATATTTATAATTTATTTTTAAAAAAAATTTTAACATCTGAGCTGTCATTGTATTTATTGATCTTTTGGACTTAATTATCATTTCACTAACAATTATTCTATTATATTCTTGCCTTAACTTATTCCAGTGCCAATATTTTTAATCTCTAATTATTCATAATAAATTTATTTTTTTAAGAAGTGACAGTTATAAAATTATTTTTATTTTAAATTTTGTGTATATTTTTACAAAAAATATCCAAATATAAAAAAATATTAAATTGAATCTGAATCATTGAAAATCAATGTGGTTGCTTCTTATTATGACGAGGGTATTGTACAAAGTAAACCTGCATTTTTATTATTGTTTTTCAAGACATGCAAAAGATAAGTTTTTATAAATTATGTATGTTTATTTTATCTGTTTTTATTTTATTTTTTCGGCTTGTAATTAGCACTTCTTTATATACTGTATTTTCTTATTTTGAATTTTAATGCCTAAAGTAATGTATTTGTGAGTCTTTGTTCTCTAAAACGAAGGAGACAACTAAAAGCAAAGCCAACTTTTACCCGTTTTCGTGTGCCTTCCGAAGAGTGTTTTTTTTTTTTTTTTTTGAGTTTTAATGCGTACTTCGGAAATGACCTTGCTACTTTCTCCCAGATTTCCTAGAGGCCTTCACCCAAAGCTTAGTTAATAAAACAATAGAAATGATTCAAATTTAATAAGTGCATGATGACCAATTATATACTCCCTCTGTATCTTATTATAAGATCTAATTTTTTGAATAGATTTGTCTCTTTTTATAAGATTCCTTTTGAGTTTGTCTGAACATTTAATATATTATCACTTACTTTACTCCTAGTTTAATGTATTAAATATATTCTCTTTCTTCATTTATCTCACTATTACTCTCTCACATCTATCCATTTATATATAGGGGTATATTTGGAAAAAAATTGTATTTGCTACATATTAATTGCTTTTAACTAATTTTAACTGTTTTCTTAAACTGCATAATTTAATTAAAAGGATCTTATAATAAGAGACGGAGTAGTATACCCATCCTACTCATAAAAGTTGAAATTAAGCACGCAGCCAAAATAGGGAAGATATAAGTAGGCACGAATCCATTATTTTTTATTTTAATTTATTATTTTTTAAAATTTATTAAATTATATGTATGAGATATATGTTATAAAATTCATGCTTTTCAATCATTTTACATGTAAACTTACTTTTCTAAATAAGTTTTAATTTAACAAACTGACTTTTATAACAAACCAATTCAAATATAAATCACATTAGGCTAACTGATTTTTGCAAAAGTTATATAGAATAAAAGTCAGTTTTGTCACTGTTAATCCAAATACACCTTAATTATTTACATCGTATTTCATATATAATATTTAATTAATTTTAAATAATTTTTTATTTACATAATTCAGTTAATTAATCCAAGTACACTCTTAAGTACTTATTTACATCGTATTTCATATATAATATTTAATTAATTTTAACTAATTTTTTATTTACATAATTCAGGTAGTTGGTTGTCATCTGTTATATGTGTGAATGAGTTTTTAAACTCAAATTTGTTGGTGACATGTTCGAATGAGCATGTGTTTCATTTGTATTAAACAAAACAAAACAACCTAATTTTGTTTCCAAAGATACAAAGGCAAGCAAAACTTGAAAGTAGATAACCTATAACTTAGTTTTAATTGTGTACCTTAGCGTCCATTCCTTACTGAAAGTAATTGCCTAAACAAAAGTTAAAAGAAAATCGCTCCTAAACGACCTGTCGGCCAAACGAATCTAATGGTTGTTCGAGTTCCCTTATTTTAAAAAATTTTGTATTGTGTGAAAATAATTTTAATTCATAAAACGTAAAAATAATTTTTTTTAATTGATTATTAGAGGCATTTAGCCAATGATGTGCAAGTCTTGACATTTTTAATTATTATTAGCTCTCATTTCCTCTCCTCTTTAATAAAACGAGCTGCCATCAAGGATCGTTTGATTTCCATTTTTGAACCCTTTTTTTAGCCTTTACCATAAAGCTCGGTTGGGTATAGTGCATATTATTGTACTTTTTTCCATCCTAAATAAATATAAAATTCTAATATATTTTATTTTTTAAATTCATAAATTTTTATTGAACTATCTCTATTTATTATGAAAATAAAAGATCTGACGCATGTAATTAATTGAAAGTAAAAATAAAAAAAATATTAAACGTTGGTACATTTTAAAAGTGTATACCGAAGTCCACCCAAAAATTTCCTGTAAACATTTCCACTGATACGTACGGATTGCGGGTGGCAGCGACGGAGAAGCTCCTGTGAAATGAAAGTAGAAAACTCACACATAATTGCATATATATATATATATATATATCTATCCTCTCTGTGTTTTTCCCAATATTTTTCTTACATTTAGACTTCAAGAGTTATTGATTAAACTAAAGAAGATGTTGTATCACTCAAAATTCAAAAAGTGCATATGAATCTCCCAATATTGAAGATCTATAAGAACCTCGATTTACTTCTTCTTGTTTGATTTGAATATTTATTTGTTAATACTTGTAGTCGACAATGATGATCCAGAAAAGACGGCGCAGAAAAAGAATGCACCATCCCAAGGTTGTGGAATGGAACTGAGATCCACAGTCATGAAAGACTGTGTAGTCCTATGCATGAACCACTCTACAACTCTTTTTCCATGATATTGCATTTTGGGCTTGTAATCAATGGTTTTGTTATTATGTATGTCAAGTAGCACTTTGGCTTCAACATCTTGAAATTAGTCACATATCAAAAAAAGGGAAGATATGAGATGGCACGAATTCAGGTTCTTCAAGGTCATGTGAAGAATTTTCAAAGAGAATTATAGTTAATAGTACAAGGTTAACAACATGTCAACATTGAAATAAATTAACAATTGAGTACTATTTTATTTTGGGTTGATGTATTTTTTAATCCCTCTAATTTGCTCTCATTTTAGTTTTCAAAGGGCAAAATGGTCCAGATATTTATTAAATTATAAGAACTAATATTTTCAAATGCAAAAAAAAAAAAAAACTTAAGGGACTAAAAGTTATTATATGAAATTTAAGAGACAAAATTGAAATAAAAGCTTATTTGAAGGACCAAAAATTATATTAACTACTTTATTCTTTATTTATAAGTTACTTTTAATATGTTTAACTGAAACTAAATAAAACCTTAAAACTCATTAATTCTATTTAAGATTAAATAAGCTTTCAACTTATATGGATTTTTCCTAGTAAAGTTTTAATGAGGCATAATATTTGTTTATAGACATCCAAAAGGAAGTTATATGGATGTCCATAAACTCTCCTAACCCTGGGCCTTTCATATTCCACACCCATAACCTCTTTAATGAATGGTTTTTAGGAGTTTTCATTTCATAATAACTCAAAGGTTACACATTATGCGCTCATGAGAATTAATTTTTCATTTATTTTATGTTACTCTTAATGAGGTTAAAACCCTACAAATAGAGGGCTACGTAATAAATACTCATTTGGTACTATTTATAAGGTATTTCTAATATGTTTCACACAGACTAAGAAAAGCCTTAAACTACATTAACTCTTTATTAAAATATAACAACTTCTCAACTTTACTCCTATTTAATATATATATATTTTTAAAAAAAAACTATCTACACTATAATAAATGAAGGACAATATAGTATATTTATAGTAAAAATTTAATGAAACAACTGATAGATAGGACAAAAAAAATCTTCTCTCTCTACCCTATAAATAGGATCAGGAGAGTAATTTGCACATCCAAGTGAATAAGAATACACTCCATCTTTCTCTACAATTTTCTCTCTTGTCTTGCTCATTTGTCTAATCTCCTTTACATTTCCTTATTTTCATATCACCGATCAAATATTCTCCTAAATTATAAGTCTCGTTTCTCTTAAATCCACTTGCTACGAGTAAACACCGGAATTTAGTTAGTTTGTGGTGTTTTTCCTTAACCATCTCTAGCATGAAATTAAATATGGGCTCGTTTATATTTGAATTGTAATATTATTACAATTTAAAGCTTGTTACTGCCTCTGCATTATCATGAGCAGTTAAAAGACATGCGATATCCAAGAAACTCTCTCTCTGTCCCTCATCAAGTCCTTCAAGACTTAATTTTAGGGCACCGTTAATGTGTGGATCAGGTGATGTTGAAGGTTTTCCAATAGGCTTTCCCAAGCTTCTGGATCTTCCTTACCAGACACAGCGGAATTACCCAAATGTCTTAGGGCCAATGGATTTCCTTTTGCCCTGTGAGTCACTTTCTTTGCCAGCCTTCCTAGTTTTGGGTGAGGGGCAGGGCGGTCTTTTCCTAAGGCATGTGAAGAGAACAGTTTAAAAGCCTCATTAGAATCCAAACCCTTTCGTTCATATATAGCATCACGATCTACGTTAGTACCAAGGACTTGTTTATCTCTGGTTGTTATTAAGATTTTACTACCTAGTTTAAACCAATCGCGTCTTCCAACCAAATTGTTTACTGGATCATAATTATCCCCTAACAACGCCAAAATAAGATCTTTCTTCACGGGCTGTATTCCATGGTTCTTTGATTTTTCTCCCACTTTTTCCACAACACCACTTGTTATATAATGCTCTTGAAAGAGTTGTTTTGTCCAAACCGCCCATCCCCCAAATGCAAATAATTCGGACATCGTTGGACTCCTTGTCCAATAGTGATTCTACATCTCTCATTCTCTCTTTAATTCCGATAAAGTGTTCTCCATTATCTTCACTTGGATACCGCTTTCGCAACTTGTTTTTAACACTTTCCACTATTTCTTTAATTCGGTCTGCTTCATTATCTCTGCACACCATTGAAAAAGTAAAGATGCACAAATTTAGTATCGTCGTATCTATTGAAGATTTTTAACTATTCCTAATGAAATGCAACTTTGAAGATTCCTCAATTTTGAAAATGTGTTCTTATTAATAGTTTTCTTGAGAAACATTACTCCCTGTAAAGTCTGTCATATTTTTATTAAAAAACACTTAGAAGTTGCCTCAAATTTTGTTTTTACTCCTTTTCGTGAGTTCTGGCATACGAGTTCGCTTTTGAGAAATATAAAATTGAACAAATAATTATCCTCTTCAAAAATTAGTAATATATAATAATATGTTTGCATTACATTTACAATGAAAGTCCTCACCTTTTTGTCCAAAAGAAGTGAAAGTCTCAAATCATGATTTTTAGTCAAGATAAAGCCTCTCTAGCGGTGAGACATACTGTAAACCTTGGGAGAAGCCTAAGCAATTGTTTGATTTCTATTTTGTTTAATTTTTATTTCAGTTTCAGCAAATAAAAAAAGGAATTCTTGTTTGGGTGAGGTGAAACCCAAAAAGCAAGTCAATAAATAAAGATGTGTGGTGTGAGTAATAAACACGGAATAGGCTACGTACTGGAAAATTGTGCAGACACAGCTGTAAATGTTGGCTAATGCGGATTGCGCGTGACACTGATCGGTGAAACAACAGTGAAATAAGCACAGAGAATCCCCACGCAATTGATAATTTTGAGAAAATGACATTAAGGTCCCATATAAGCAAATATACAACAAAAAGGTCCCTTGAAATGTGATAATTTTTCTGAAGTCCCAAAGGGACTTAGCTGCCATTTTCAGAAAGTTAAAATGACTTCCTTACCCTAGCATATCAGAGATAGAAGGCGCTGAGATGAGTTTCCCGCATAGTGTGGCTCTGTTATGGCTGAGAGAGAGGTCATGGAAAAAGAAAGAAGGAGCCATTGATAATGAAGTATCTTCTCTATTACTATTAGTGAAGTCCAAAAAGGTTCCATTTGAATCTTCACAAATCTTCAGATCTGGAAATTTCTTTCCTCTCCTCTCCTGGAATATTTTTCTTGACAGATTGATTGTGTTTGGGAATGAGAAATTAGAAAATCATTTTTGCCTTTGGTACTGTAAAGCTTTTATTTTTTTGTCTAAGATGAACAAGTAAATCAATGGAAAAACTGTGTTTTTGGTTGGTGATTTAAGTTGGGTGTGTAGGATGACCATGGGTGCTCTGTTTTTGGGTTGCTTGTGGGTGGTTTTGCTTTGTTCTGACGTTAGTTTAGGGGCAAAGGAAGAAAAAGATGAATGTTAGTTTGGGTAAAAACCCTTAGCATGAAATAGGATATTGTGTTGTCAATCAGGCTGCGATAGTTGTTAATATGTGCCGCGACAGTTGTCAACATAGCTTCTTGACTTGTCAATAACAGTTGCGTGATTTTTTATGCAGGTTTAAATTACTGATGGCGAGTATGTCTGGAAAGCATCTATTTTGCTTTGTTCACACAAGGAAAAAGTTTATAAGTGATGGAGAGGATGATATGAGATATGGGGGAGGTAGTGTAAGAACAACAAATATAAAGGAGGGCACAAGTTATGAAGAATTGAAGAAAATTGTATCATCAATTGCTGGAAAAGAAAGTAACTCATTTCTTTTGAAATTCTCAGTTGTGTATAGCTCAACAGCACTCAGCGTAGAAATTAACAACCTGAGTTATCCAAAATAACAATTAATATAACAGGAGTTAATGACAAGTGATATAACAATTTCATAATAAATGAACGTGTGGATATTAACAATTGATATTCAAAATTTTTACAATTGAAGGTGTTATTTATTTATAATGTTAAGTAATATTTGCATTAAAATATAATTATTAAGAAGAAGGTGTTACTCAAATTTATGTTCAATTGATAAGAGACAGTGCCTTCATTAACAAGTCATAGTGCTTCATTGGCAAGTCACAGTGTCACCATTGATAAGTCATAGTGTCACCGTTGACAAGTTATAGTGCCACCATTGACAAGTCAGTGTACCACCATTGACAACTGATAATTCGCTGAGGCGTCTGACCATATCTGTCGCAGCTCCCCCATCTATCCCAAGGAGCTATCATTCTGTGTAAGGCGCCGCAGCTCCTGATCATATCCGCCGCAGCACCCAACCCTTTTAAGAAGTTATTCGGTGAACAACAAGTCACAGTGTTACTATTGACAAGTCAGTGTGCCACCATTGATAAGTCATAGTGCCACCATTGACAAGTCATAGTGCTACCATTGACAAGTCACAGTGCGACCATTGACAAGTCATAGTATTACCATTGACACTTCATTAATAATGATTATATATGACAATATAATCAAAATATAATATGATAAAGTGATTGAAAATATCACATGATACTAAAACATGTTAAGTAACTTGAATTCATATTGTTGACAATTTATATCAGCAAATTAATTGACAAGTCACAGTGCTCCATTGACAAGTCATAACAGGTCTAATGATAATACAGGGTGCAGGTAATGACAACTGAAATGATAGCAGAATCTAACATGCCAATTCATAGCCAACTTTCATTTACACTTTCATATATATGAAATTACACCTATTTCACAACCCATCCAAAAAAAAAAAAATAGGGGTTGCATATAATTACGAAACTAACTATTGGTGTGTATCCATTTACAAAAAATTCTCTTCACACACATTTACAAAATATTCCCTTCACATCCGTATAATGCTTTTCGGAGGGCAATGGTATTTGGAAATATTTGTCCTTCTCCAATAATCAAATCCCTCTGTTTTGTGGAATTCATTTGTGGTGTAAGTGTTGGGATCATTTCAACAGCACAAGGAATTGATGATGGCTCTCCAATCTCATCAAATGAGGTAGGTAGAGACATAGACGATCCATTGATACCTCCAAATAATTGATCAATCCTACAGGAAATGACAAGTTAGGGTGCATGCATTGACAAGTTGGTAGCAAGACAGTAACAACTAATATTGATAATAACAGTTTTGTTAAACTAAACTTGCACATCTTGCTCGTCCATTACATTATCCCTTGTTGCTTCTATGTGGTCTTTATTTCCATTCTCTTATACCTACACATGACCGCTTTCTTCATTGAATTTTGCCAAATTTTCTACCTCATCATCACCTACCAACCCCACAAATATTTTTTTATCAAACACAACTGAGAATTTCAAGAGAAATGAGTTACTTTGTTTTCTAACAATTGATGATATAATTTCCTTCAATTCTTCATAACTTGTTCCCTCCTTTATAGTTGTTGTTCTTACATTACCTCCCACATATATCATCTTCTCCATCATTTATAAACTTTCCTCCTAAATGAACAAAGCACAATAGATGCTTTCCAGGCATACTCGCCATCAGTAATTTAAATCTGCATCAAGAATCACGCAACTGTCATTGACAAGTCAAAGAGCTACATTGACAACTGTCGCAGCACACATTGACAACTATTGCGGCCTGATTGACAACACAATATCCTATTTCGTGCTAAGGGTTTCTAACCAGACTAATCTTCATCTCTTCCTTCCTTTGCCCCTAAACTAACATCAGAACAAAGCAAAACCACTCACAAGCAACCCAAAAACAGAGCACCCATGGTCATCCTACACACCCAACTTAAATCACCAACACACACCAACCAAAAACACAGTTTTTCTATTGATTTACTTGTTCATCTTAGACCAAAAACAAAAGCTTTACAGTACCAAAGGCAAAAACGATTTTCTCATTTCTCATTCCCAAACACAATCAATCTGTCAAGAAAAATATTCCAGAAGAGGAAAGGAAGGAAATTTCCAGACCTGAAGATTTGTGAAGATTCAAATGGAACCTTTTTGGACTTCACTAATGGTAATGGGAAAGATACTTCATTATCAATGGCTCCTTCCTTCTTTCTCCATGTCCTCTCTCCCAGCCGTAACAGAGCAACACTATGCAGGAAACTCATCTCAGTGCCTTTTGTCTCTAATATACTAGGGCAAGGAAGTCATTTTAACTTTCTGAAAATGGCAGCCAAGTCCCTTTGGGACTTCAGAAGAATTATCACATTTCAGGGGACTTTTTTGCTGTATATTTGCTTATGTGGGACCTTGATGTTATTTTTCCTATTTTCTATGGTCTGATTGTAACAACATTTGAAATTACTTATAGTAAGTACTTCATCCGTCTCATATTATAAGTAACACTAAAACTCATCACATAAATCAAAATATTAGTTAAAATTAGTTAAATATAATAAATATGTAAAAATTAGAAGTTCTTTCACTAAAATGCTCTTATTTATAAGGAAGAGAGAGTATAAGAGAAAGAATAAGAAAATTATTATAATAAAGAGAATTATAGAAGAGAGAGAATGTGTGATGGAGAGATGATGATTTGAGAAATGAGATAATAAATATATTGAGTATTAAAATAAGTAATTAATGAGGGCAAAATTGAGAATTTGCCACAAAAGTTTAAAACAATTTATAAATGTGGCTTATATTTAGGGACAAGAAAGATATGATAGTTGTTGCTTATAATATAGGACGGAGGGAGTATATTTTATATAAATTGAGATAACTTTTTTATATATTTATCTTATATTTTAAACATGGTAGTAAAAAAACTGTTTATAAATAATTTTAAATGGGTTAATTTGTTTGCTTTTTATCAGTTATATTATTTTTCACGAACTCGTGGAACATGTGACAGCAGGGGTGAATTAATGTTTGGACAAATGTGGAGATAAATTGATAAGGATCAATTTTCACTGTGTAGATTTTTCTGGTGTAAAATAATATTATTCCCTCCCAGATTTATTTTGATTTAACACTTTATT